AAATTCCATGTTCGAATCCCAATTCTTCCATAAATTACTGTCTTTTTTACTCGATAATATTCTCCTTAACCCTTTTTAACCTCATCGGGGGATATCGTTTATTCACGCTTTCCTTCAAAAGCTTAACCACCTTAAATCTTCTTAATTTCTGAAACCATCCTCCAATTTCTCCACTCACGTCGACGTGTCTATTCACGTGCGTGACATCTCGGTCCGCGTGTTACAGGTGCGAATAATCATTCTGAACGTGTATTTTCTGACCCGAGCCCCAGTCCATTCGAATTTCCAACCTTTAAGCCTTCTGTCCAGATTAGTTAAACTACTTTGTCAACGTGAGCCAGTTATTTACTTAACTTAAACCATTCTTCCGAGTTTCGACTTTCTGGTTCTCATTAATCGAATCACTTGGTTCTCGCGAAAGGATTAAAAATAATCTTAATCTTTAAATAAATTATTACTAAATTTCCTGTCGACCTTATTTATTCTTCAGTCAAGTGCACAACTTTGTTCACCAACGAGCCGCTTCTTTTATCAACTATTGTATTTTATTTTCAAAGCATTCAACTTTTATAGTCTCGTGACAATATTACTAAACGAGATGAAACTTAATACGCAGACGAATTTTAGTCATTTAGTCACTCAATTAAAAGAACTCTTGTCGTATGAAAAATTAAATTAATTGTCTCGCAACAACGTTTATACAAATGAAGTTCCATCGAACGAATTGAATATTTGGATTCAATTAATTGTATATATTAAATGCTAGAATAATTACAGTATCTGTAGCAAGTATAAGCAGCCTAAAACCCGGCAAATATTATTCTTCCGTCATTTCACTTGACGTAGTTGCATTTCTTGCACGACGCGATCCACCTTCCTTTACGCAAGTATATTTTTACGTCGACCAGCGAGTCAACATTTTTCCAACGAGGCAATTCCCGGACATATTGCACATCCGTGCTATTTGTTTTCATTCTGACATACGTACGTATTTACAAACTGGACTGTCACGACCATTGCCTCATCGCGGTGTCGTTGTAAAACGCGTTCGCGTGACAGGGTTTTCTAGCCAACGTAGGTGGACTCTCTAACCCGGTCCGCGGGTTCGACCATAAACACACGGTTTACATTATGTAAACCCGGCGTTTCCTCGCGCGGCTCCCTCTTACGTAAACATGCGAAAATTATGTAATGTAACGCGATCCATGAGACGTCGGATGATGACACATCGAACTGGAGATTCGTCGTTAGAGGTGGCGTGTGCGAAATACAGTGAAAGTCGCTCGCCAGGGAGGCGTTCCGGCCACAAACTCGTGTCACTTTGACAAGTACGTTCGACCGTTTCTAACAACGATAAATGGTGATCTAACGATCGTGTAGAGATCGATCGAAGCGTACATGTCGTACAGGTGACTTCGTGGTTTTCTCACCTAGTCTCGCGTTTCATCCCTCTCTTTGGTCCAGAGTGTCTTCATGACTCTTCAAATTCGAATCGTAGAAATCATTGAACGGGAGAATTTATTCACGCTTTCTACTGTTACACGTGCTTATCATATATTCGTCTCTATCGAATCGCTGTGTATTTGCGTCGCTTTTAGTACGGAATGGTAATTCGTGGAATAATTCAATCATAATCTCGTGGCGTTAGAAGCGGTATTTAGAGGAATTACAGGGTTTCGAGGATTATTTGCTGAATTGAACCGGAACTTGTAATTCATCGCTAAAGCTATCGTAACGGAGATTAATTTCTCATTTTATATTTTTCGTCTAATTATCTCGTTGTTAATAACTCTCTAGCTATACAATGATACTTGCACCAATTAATCGAGATAAAATTTCTAATAATTCTCAGGTTGACTCGTGCTAAAATTGACAGTTTTACTGGCCCGCTGACAGTAGTAAATTTCTTACTGGTTAGGTAATAGAAATTGTTTACGAAATTGCCAAATGGAATCGCGAAAGGACGAAAAAGCAGCTTCACTCATCGCTCTCGTCGATTTTATGGACCTTTTTTTCGTCAAGCTCATTGCGAGCCCGAGGATCGATTACTAGAATATCGTTGCAACAGGATTCCTTTTCAAGCGAATCGCGCTTTGTTTTATCGATCGTTGGTTCAGTACCAATCAGTGACCAGTACTTCACTGGTTTGAGGAACATAAGTCACGAAAATTATTATATTTTAGCTGTTCGATCATGAAGGAGAAGAATATTCACGATCATCCAGAAAGAAATTTCTCCAACAGACGCATTGCGAACTTTTACGTGAAAACGTTGATCGATCGATCGAAGAGCGATTTGCATACACTTTCGAGAAAACGTCAACGTGAATGCGCATCCAGATGCGAGAAACGATCGAAGTAACGCGAAGTTTATCGCACGGTTCAAGATAATTTACGACCAAAGCCACATTTGTCTTTTCGACTCAAACAGTGAAAAATGATTCGTTCGGTAACAACAGTTTTCGCAGCCTGTTAACTCGCTTAACGTGTTCAACAAAAAAAGAAGGTGGGGGGATTTTAACTTCTGGTGAAATTTCTTGCCGTTACACATTATTTTCCATCCTCGTCGTGAAATATTGAAAGAGCAATGGTTGCTGTCGCTCGTTCACCGCGAAAGTCACGACACAGTTTGGACAAATGGTAGCTTTCAAGCTCGTGCGCGTGGTTCAAAGCTTTGTAGGTGCTCGGCGGCAGTCTAGGAAAAAAAAGTTCACATACCGAGCGAGCGGCATAATTCATCCGCAAGGGATTTTTACGTCACGATGCCTGTTCGGTGCTGGGTCGTAAATAATGCACGCCTATGCTAGTCGTGGACGAGGCCGACCACCTGGCGTGCGACTGGATTTTGTGGCGTGCGAACATTGAATTTAAAATACTATAACCCTTTAAGCACAGTGTCTACAATTGCGTAGGGTTGTTAAATATCGAGAAACGATTATTACGCCAGTTTGTCGTTCAGGATTGCTCCTCTATCGAAACGCAGGAAGTTGAATTGAATCGATCGCAGAGTTCTGTTGTCAGAGTTGAAATTCTCGCAGAGAAGAATTTTATTAATTATCCTGTCGGGTTGTACGTTCTCTACAAACAGTTGTTAACTTCATGCAACGGAAGTCGTAGTAAGAAATAGATTAGCAATTCTGCAAGGTGTTTTTCATGTTGAAATAGAGAAGAATACTAAAGAGTAGTAATACTATCTTATTACAATGTACGTTTCTTTTTATGAATTACGACTAGAGATGTTTATGCAAATTAATATTTCGAATGAAAGTGAAGAAGTGGGAATTCACCAAATACTTTGAACATTTTATACCCATATTTTTTCAGTGTGTATTGTATTTTTTTAATTATTTGAATTCTATAGACTAGTAGTAGAACTTGTAATAGAACAGTCATCGAACACACTTAATGCATTTGTTTGTACTTTTGCAATTAGTGAGATAGCTACTGTGTAGACTGTGATTAAATTTTTGACGGGTAACATGCAGTACCAGCAATGGAAATAACTCTGAAAGTATAATTTCTATACTCGGGTAGAAAATTCATTGCTAAACGACATATGTCATTGTTAAATAAAAAAGATATACGTGTGCAAGCTTTCAAATTTTCCGAGCGTTTAGTACCTTTTTATTATTACAACTTTCTCCACTTTCCATCAATTTCGCCATTATTCGCGATATAAAATATCGAACATCCATTTCGTGATAACATCAGATTTTCCGTTTTCACGGCAAGTCCCACGCGACATCGACGTTTTCACCGCGTGGAGGCAGACGAATACGGCGAGACAAGTGTACCGAGTTACTGATTTTCATTGGCCGAACGCAGGTTATCCCAGATACAAGAATTCTAGTGCCACGCTGCAAATGCTGCGCAATCCGAAATTCCTTTGGATTTTTTTCAACGATCTTGAGCCGTTAATTCGCTTTTTTCTTTCCACCGGGACAGAACCGGTTCGTAAAAGCGCGATTTATCTCAGCAATGATTTTCAATCGAAGTCACGATATTCGCAGCACCGTCCAATTATCTCCGTTAAAATTCCAAACTCCTTTCGATTTCGTACAGCGACAAGTTACGCGATCGAATTTTGCTTTACGAAAGTTAAATGGAAAACGTATGTTAAAAGTTTCGCGAAAGCGAGCCAAGTTTTCGTATGAATATTTCATAGAGAACCGGGACGAAATGGTAGCAACAGAAAGGTAAATTGCCAGTACGAAGGTGTTCCATAATCGGGTTTTCGAGTAGCCAGAAGCCGTGGCATCCACGTTGTGAAAACCGCTCGCGAAAGTCACTCGAGCGTCGCGATAATTAAAGGGAAAATGCAGCGCGAGGAAAATGTGCTGCTAATGACCATCAAATTAATTGTTGTTCTCATTCCAGGCCGCGTGGTTGTAACTCTCGTTCCGTAGTCGTAATTAATTAATTAATGAGTTAATCCCTATTTGTAATCTCTGCTAGTAACGATCTCATTGAGTAACGATACGCGATCGCGCTTCAATTTCGACGACGGTGACGTTTTCTTTCTTCTTCTTTTTTCTTTTTCAACGTTCAAGAGCAGGACAGAAGCGTATCGGTTCATCGAATAATGAAATCCTTGTCGTTCGAGATATCTCAATGAAAAGGGTCTGCCTTGACTCTCGCGAGAATTCGCGTCCGTGCTCGAGAGCAATTTCTCGAATCACGAATTCACTTCGCATACTTTCGTAACATCGAACCGACGAGCACAGCCGAGGTAAACGATCGTTTTTAGAACTATGAATGCGCATTAGAAGTCGGATAGCGAGTTTTAATCGTCTCTATTTTTCCTTATACATAAATCAAAGAAGCTAAACCTCTACGCGCATCTTGTGATACGTAGAGCTTTCGAATTTTTTGCCGGTCTCTCGTTACTTTCTTCTTCGTTGCACGCTTGTTTCGTTTACCGTGGTAATAGTAGCGTTGAAAGGACATTAGGCTCCATATTGCACGCGTACACCATACCGTATCGCTATCGCGATAACTATTATGAAGTGCCGTAACGTTGAAACGTGTATTTATCCATTACAAATAGCAATAGGTGTAACGCTGTTTGTCCGCTGTTAATTATCTACATCTGCTACACCGTATCTTACCCTCGTTCGATTTAAGTGTGCATTATTTCTTGTCTGAGTGTTATTATATCGGGGGAAACGAGCGAAAAAAATACCCTGTTCTTAATAAATTCTTATTCTTTTCCTTCCTGGTAATTTTAGTATGAACTCATCGTTCATACCCAGCGAAACCAGCTTTCCTAATTTCGACGAAACACCGTTCTTTTAACCGTAAACCGTTTAATTTAATGGACATAGCGGTATAAGTTGTTGATTTACATATATTCAAGCTGCCAAGTTTAAACGTGAATTTCTCATTTTAATTTCGAAACGATCGATTCACAGACGTGGTAGACGATCAGACACCAGCGTCTTCATTCTGGACTCCAACGATCAAGACGGGCAACATTTTCACCGACGACAGCACTAATTTTTTCCCCTCGAGTCACGGCTTGGTGCAGACCCATCCGACTGGTAACGTATTCCGGAGCGGTTTCGGCGGAATCGACAATCTTGGTAGTCGGGGGGTCACTGTCAGACCACCGAGGACGAGACCCCTCGACTACAGCGAACGATCCACGGCCGAGTTACGACGAAATCCGGCGCTCTCCTCGCCGGACGAGTGCGCCAGAGCTTGCCGGGAGAACGAACCTCCTAGGATATGCTATTACCACTTCACCCTCGAGTACTACACCGTACTTGGAGCGTGAGTATCTTTCATCCTTGGAAGAAGAATAGAATTTATGTTATGAAATGAAATTTAAGATCTTTTTCAATATTTTAACTGCAAAAACGAGGATAGGAGTAACTGGGAGAAGAAAGTTCGAGTGAAAATGTAAATTAAATTAAAAAGCGAAATTAAGAATTAAATTGACGATAAAAAGCAAGAATTAAAGTAACAATGAAGTAAACTAGGAATATAAAACTGAGAACAATAGAGATTTAAATTTGAATTTCTCAAATTTCTCAAGTAGCCGGAGAATTTTTGTATCTTTCCGTAATTTACAGCGCGTGCCAAATATGCACCCCGAATGCAACCAACGTCGTCTGGAGTGACTGCCAATGCGTGTTAGCGGACGGCGTGGAACGAGGTATTTTAACAGCGAACAGAATGGTTCCCGGCCCAAGCATTCAAGTTTGTCAAAATGATAAAGTCGTGGTCGACGTGGAGAATCACATCGAAGGTATGGAAGTTACCATTCATTGGCACGGTGTATGGCAAAGAGGAACCCAGTACTACGATGGTGTACCATTTGTAACGCAATGCCCAATACAAGAAGGCAGCACGTTCAGGTAACCATCCAAATTAATTTTTGCTCTCTCGTTACGTTCATATTCCAGATTTTCTTCATAAATTTATTACATATCGATCTCTGTAACGCGTAGATATCAATGGATAGCTGGAAACGAAGGCACACATTTCTGGCACGCTCACACAGGATTGCAGAAAATAGACGGTCTCTACGGAAGTATCGTGATACGTCAACCGCCGAGCAAAGATCCCAACAGCAACCTTTACGATTACGATCTGACTACCCATGTCATCCTTATTAGCGACTGGTTCCATGAGAACGCGGCCGAGCGTTTCCCTGGTCGTCTAGCAGTTAACACCGGTCAAGCGCCTGAAAGTGTATTGATCAACGGAAAGGGACAATTCAGGGTATGACTCGCCTACATCTTATTACTGTGATTTTAACAGACATCTAAATTGCAACCACGCGTCTCTATATTTTTATTTCTGTTTCTCTTTATTCGTCTTAATTTTTATTAATCAATTAACCATCAATATATAAACTTTCTATCCTGTGCAGCTACATATTTCTTTTCATTTTTTTTCTTCTCACATCTATTACCAGTCCATCCCCATGGCCTGAAACAGAATCCTTGTCAGGATATAAATTTTCAATCACTTCCATAAACTCCCAGTCACACATTTCAGTCGCTGATTCAGATTATTCGAGAAGGAATTCCGAATTTCCATTCGCGACGCGAGATATTCCAGAACTCGTTTTTGTCCGCAGGATCCAAACACCGGTTTCATGACGAATACACCTCTGGAGGTATTCACCATAACTCCCGGCCGCCGTTATCGTTTCCGACTGATCAACTCTTTCGGATCGGTCTGTCCGTCGCAGATCACGTTTGAAGGTCACACCCTTACCATAATCGCAACCGACGGCGAAGCAGTGCAACCGGTCTCCGTGGACACGATCATCTCGTTCTC